TCAGGACCCTTCGGTATATGGGCTGATGCTTTAACCATTCAGAAACACTGGCCTGTACAATATATTTTTAGTTTGAAGTAATCCCATTTGTTTATTTTTTATTTGGGTTCCCTTGCCCAAGGAGGTATATAGAAAAAAAAATTAAGATAAATGTCAAGGAGTTCACTGCCTATGTTTTCTTATAGAAGTTTTGTGGTTTAGAGTCTTACATTTTAGTCTTTAAAGCATGTTGAGTTTATGCTTGTATATGGTGTAAGAAGGTGGGATTTCTCTCTTTCTCTTCTCTTCTTTCTCTCTCTCTCTCTCATTTTTTTTGCATGCATCTGTCCAGTCATTTCAACACCACTTACTGAATGGACTGTCTTTACCCCTTTGTATATTATTGCCTTCTTTTCAAAAATTAATTGGACATATAAATGTGGATTTATTTCTGGGCTCTTTATTCTGTTCCATTGATATATGTGTCTCTTTTTTATGCCAACACCATGCTGTTTTGATACTAAAGCTTTGTAGTACAATTTGATATCAGGTAGCATGATACCTCCAACTTTTTCTCTCAAGGTTTCTGTGGCTATTCAGGAAAATTTGTTGTTCCATATAAATTTTAGAATTATTTGTTCTAGTTCTGTGAAAAAATGCAAGTGGCATTTTGATAGGGATTGCATTGAATCTATAGATTGCTTTGGGTAATATGGACATTTACACGATGTGAATTCTTTGTATCCATGAGCACAGTATATGCTTTCACTTGTTTGTATCTTCTTCAATTTCTTTCTTCAATGTCTTATAATTTTCTGAGTACAGGTCTTGTACCTTCTTGGCTAAATTTGTTTCTAGGTGGGTTTTTTAATTCAGTTGTAAATAGGATTGTTTTCTTAATTTCTCTTTTTGATAGCTCATTATTGGTGTATAAAATGTAATAATTTTTATATGCTGCTACTTTACCAAATTCATTTATCAGTCTTAGTAGTTTTTGGTGGAATCTTTAGGGTTCTCTCTATGTAGTATCATGTCATCTGCAAATGATGATAATTTTACTTCTTCCTTTCCCATTTTGATGCCCTTTATTTCTTTTCTTTTTAATATATTTTATTGATTTTTTACAGAGAGGAAGGGAGAGGGATAGAGAGTTAGAAACATCGATGAGAGAGAAACATCAATCAGCCACCTCCTGCACATCCCTCACTGAGGATGTGCCCGCAACCAAGGTACATGCCCTTGACAGGAATCGAAGTCGGGGCCCTTGAGTCTGTAGGCTGACGCTCTATCCACTGAACCAAACTTGTCACGGCTGCCCTTTATTTCTTTTTCTTGTCTGATTGCTGTGGCTAGGATTCAATACTATCTATATATATAAAAGCCTAAGCAACCATTCAACCATTCGACCGGTAGCTATGATGCACACTGACGACCAGGGGGCAGGCGCTCAATGCACAGGCATGGAAACATGGAAAAGACTGATGAATCTCAGAGGGAAGTGGGGAGGGGGAGGGCAGGAAGAGATTAACCAAAGATCTTATATGTATATTAAAGGCCTGGTGCACAGATTCGTGTACCAGTGGGGGCCCTCAGCCTGGCCTGCTGGGATTGGGCTGAAACCAGCAGTCCAACACCCCCTGAGTGGTCCTGGATTGTGAGAGGGCAGAGGCCAGGCCGAGGGACCTCACCGGTGCATGAATTCATGCACCAGGCCTCTAGTGTTGAATGAAAGTGGTGAAAGAGCACAGCCATGTCTTGTTCCTGATCTTAAGGAAAATGCTTTTTGCTTTTCACTGTTGACTATGATGTTAGCTGTGTGCTTGTCACATGTGGCCTTTATTGTAGTGAGGTCTGTTCCCTCTATTCCAACTTTGCTGAACGTTTTTAATCATGCGTGTATGATGGATTTTTCCAAATGCTTTTTCTGAACCTATTGATATGATCATGTAAATTTTTTATCCTTCATTTTGTTTATGTGGTGCATCACATTAATTGGTTTGTGGATACTGACCCCATCTTGCATTCCAGGAATAAATTCCACTTGATCATGGTGTATGATCTTTTTCATATTTTGCTAAGTCCAGCTTACTATTTTTTAAAGAATTTTTGCACTTAGGTTTATCAAGGATATTGGCTTATAATTTTCTCTTTTGGTGATATCTTTGGGTTTGGGAACAAGATAATGCTGGCCTCATAAAATGAGCTTGGGGGGCTTCTCTCCTCTGGGAGTTTTGTAATACTTTGAGAAAGATAGGTGTTAGTTCTTCTTTGAATGGTTGATAAAATTTGCCTATGATGCCATCTGGTCCTGACTTTTGTTTTTTGTGAGGTTTTTATTATTATTGTAACTGTTTTGATTGGTCTTCTCAGATGTTCTGTTTCTCTTGATTCAGTCTTGGAAGATTGTAGGTTGCTAGGAATTTATCCATTTCTTCCAGATTGTCCAAAGTGTTGGCCTACAATTGTTTGTATTATTTTCTTATAATCCTTTTTATCTATTGTGTATGTGTTCCCCCACATCCCGCGTGGTTCAGGGTTCAGGATCTGGCAGAGGAGCCACACACAAGTGAAAGAGACAAGACAAGAGATAATTTCAAAATTTTGGGGGGCCAGTTGGGCAAGCCCAACTCAAGGGGAAGGACTTCCACTGGTGCTCAGGCCTCACCAGCCTTTTATTCAACTTTGGTTACACATAAAGCCCTTAGGCAGGCAATTGCAGTAGCAGACAGACTATCTTAAAGGTCAGTAAATATTAGAAGGATTTACTCTGAGACTATTTGATCAGGAAATAGCTTGAGCCCCCATTGTCAGGACTAGACAATCGGTGCATAACTCAGGCCGTTGCCATGGGTTCAAGGTTCACCAGCGTTCCTGGATCCTTGTTTGCACTTCTCTGCTAGTGAAGACAATGAGTGGTTTCTCACATCTATGTGGTGTTAGCTGTCACTTCTCTTTCATTTCTGATTTTATTTATTGAGGTTCTCTTTTTTTCTTGATGAGTCTGGTTTAAAGCTTTATCAATTTTTTAAATCTTTTCAGAGAAGCAGCTATTGATTTCTTTGATGTTTTGTAATGCTTTTTAGGGCTCTTATTTTTGTTCATTTCTACTCTGTTATTTTCTTCCTTCTATTCACATTGAGCTTTGTTTGTTGTTCTTCTTCTAGTTCCTTCAGGAAGTTTAGATTGTGTAAGTTTATATTGTATATTTGAGATTTTTCTTGTTTCTTGAGGGAGGTCTGTATTTCTATGAATTTCCCTCTTAGGACTGCTTTTACTGGGTCCCATAGATTTGGGGGCATTATGTTTTCACTTTTTTTTGTCTCAAATTATCTTGATATATATGAAATATTTCAGAGAGAGATAGAAACATCAGAGAGAATCATCGACCGCTGCCTCCTACACACCCCCTACTGGATATCAAGTCCACAACCCAGGCATATGCCCTGACCGTGAATCGCACTGTGACCTCTTGGTTCATAGGTTGATGCTCAACCACTGAGCAACACTGGCTGGCTCTCTCAAAGTATCTTTTGATTTCTTTTTTGATTTTGTTGTTAACCCATTAATTGTTTAGTAGCATGTTATTTAACATCCATGTGTTTGTGTGTTTTTCAGTTTTCTTCTTATAATTGATTTCTAGTTTCATATCATTGTGGTTGGAGGAGAAGCTTGATATAATTAAAATCCTCTTAAATTTATTCAGACTCTTTTTCTATCCTAATGTGTGGTCTGTCCTATAAAATATCCCATGTGTGTTTGAAAATAATGTACATTTTGCTGCTTTGGGGTGAAATGCTCCAAAAATATCAATTAAAGTCATCTGGTCTAATCTGCCATTTTAGGCTGCTGTTCCTTGTAGGTTTTCTGTTTGGATGATCTATCTATCCATTGATGTCAATTAGGCGTTAAAATCCCCTGGAATTGCTGTGTTACTGTCAATCTTCCCTTTTATGTCCCTCAATATTTGCTTCTTTCAGAAATGGAGAATTTGAGTCATAGAGGGGGAATGCATTTCTCCACATCCCTCAGCACCAGATTCCTGCCTGTGAACCTCTCAGCCTGAGAGACTGGGGTGAGGTTGGGGCGGGGACACAGACCCTTAGAAGCCACGATCTTTTTTTTAAAATATACTTTATTGATTTTTTACAGAGAGGAAGGGAGAGAGATAGAGAGTTAGAAACATCGATGAGAGAGAAACATCGATCAGCTGCCTCCTGCACATCTCCCACTGGGGATGTGGCCGCAACCCAGGTACATGCCGTTGACCGGAATTGAACCTGGAACCCTTCAGTCTGCAAGCCGACGCTCCATCCACTGAGCCAGATCTTGAGCAAGGCACATTGTTACCCTCTGAGACCTTTATGTCTTTGATCTTCAGAGTGTGTGTAGCATGTCCTATTGTGGAAATAGGGTCTGTGATATGTGAGCTTCGGAAGGCCCACTCTGAGGTATCTGTCATCCAGTAGATGCTTGCTGTGGCCACCTATGTTTCCCTTGTCCAGCCCTACAGGGTTTGCTCAGCTGTGCTCTGCTGCCCAGTCCTCAGCAGCAGCCAGTGAAGGCAGAGTCCAGGCAGTCCTGTGACTTTTGCCAGGCCACTTGACCCTTGGCCTTGCTTTTCCCACGTGTGAGGTGGAGAAGGGCCTCCCTGGTAGTGGCATTTGGAATACCACCGGTTTCTCTACCATAGGCCAGGGGGATTTCTCCACAGTGTGTGGGAAGCCCAAGGTGATGGGGAAGATCTATGGTGGCCAGGACGTGGTGGCTGGCCAGTGGCCATGGCAGGCCGGCCTGCTGTACCATAACACACACATCTGCGGAGCAGTCCTCATCAACTCCTTCTGGCTGGTGTCCACTGCCCACTGCTTTCTCAAGTGAGTCCTCCTTCCTGGGGCTGCAGCAGATGGGCTGGTAGGGGAGGAAGATGCAGGGGAAGAGGAATAAAGGGGTGATGAATGTCCTCACAACCTGGAATGTCTTCCCCACTCGCCTGCCCAGACCCTCCTCATCTTTCATCCTGAGCCCCTGTGCCTGTCCAGCAAGAGATTGCAGTGTCCATCCAAGCTGCCATACACTTGGACTGGCTCTTTGCTGCCTCAGAGAATGGCTTCTCCTTAATGCCCTCGTATTACTGACTGGGTAGGGGCCTGGGGTTGCAAGGACAGCCAACAGCTAGGCAATTCTCATCACTTCAGCAAAAGTGCATGCCTGGGAGGTACTGGGTGCCAGGCTGAATGGGTGGGAGGTGGGACTCTCTGATGTTAGAGAGTGACATGGCCCCTCAGGAATCTTAACTCCTCTCTTCCTTCTGGTACCTAGTTTCTAAACAGAGAAGGAAGGAGCCCAAGGAAGCAGAGGATTCACAGCCTAAGTCAGGGAGTTGGAGCTCATGTGCCAATTGGCTTTGAGAGCCCAGAGTCCTATTGGCACCTTCTCTGTGCCACACTCCATGTGACACCCTCTGTGGCATAGGGGGTGGCAAGACCCTACTCCACCATGCCTCCATTCTGTCAGGAAAGAAAGCCCAACCTGGGGTGGGAATGGCTGACCCCATGGGAGAGGGAGGGAGCACAGCCTTCAGTGGGTGTGGAGCAGGAGGGGCTTGCCTGAGAAGAAGGGTTTTGGGCATGAGGAGCACGGGGAAGTGCTTTCCAGGTGGATGAACCATGTGAACAGTCAGGAAGGTGGGAAGCTTTATCACTTGTGTTCAGGGAACAAGGTGAGGTTTTGATTCCTGCACTCATTTGCTCATTTACACATCTTTTGTGAGTGCTTTTAACCAATTGAACAAGCAGCCTTGGGCGAGAAGGTGTTTAAATAAAGGAAGGGCAGGAAAAGTGTTTGGGCCAGGAGGTAGGTCATGGGAGACTTGAGAAGGGTCAGGTTAGAGCTAGGATTGAGCCAAAGCCTGATGTGAGGGTCCCACCGAAGACACTTCTAGCATTAGGAATCTCTGTTCCTTCAATTCTAGGGTGTGATGGGGAAGCCACATGCCCTGAGGTTGTGAGTAGACTATCAACCAGCCTCAGGAAAGAAGGGCTCCTGACAGTGTGAAAGGGGTCAGGTAGGACAGAGGGGCCCACAGGAATGCGGGCAGTTAGACAAGGATGCAGGGAGAGAGCTGGCCCACACACTCAGAGAGGACGGTGACTGTGGGCCATTCCCCCTCCAGTAAATCCGGTGCCCCAGAGGACTACCAGGTTCTGTTGGGAAGCACCCAGCTGTACCAGCACACGCAGCACGCCCGGAAGATGTCTGTGAACAGGATTATCATGCACCCAGACTTTGAGAAGTTCCACCCCTTCGGGAATGACATAGCCATGTTGCAACTGCACCTGCCTGTGAACTTCACCTCCTACATCAGCCCCGCCTGCCTCCCAACCCCTGGAATACAACTGCCTAGCCACTCATCTTGCTGGATAACCGGCTGGGGAATGCTCAGCGAGGACAGTGAGGGGGTGTGGGAGAGGCTGTGGGATGAAGCTGAGGAGGGGGAGCGGGAGAAAGGGAAAAGAAAGGGGGAGGAGAGAGGCAGGAAGAAGGGAGGAATAGTGGAGATTGAAATGTTCCCACACAAAGATGCCACTGGTCCTTGGCCCTCTATGCCTCTTTTCCAAAGGCCTGGACCATTCCAGTTCTCGATCTGAAAAGTGTGTGATTCTCAAGGATATTTGAGATTTTGAATCAAGAATCTGGGTTCTTAGAGTCTTCATGGTTCTTGATTTCAAGGTTTTTAATCAGCCATAGATCTGAGTTGACTTGGTTCTACTCGAAGGTCATGCTGGGGCCCTGTCCCATTCCAGCTTTCCCATGACCCGAGATGGTGCTTGGGAAAAAATGGAAAACACACACACATTTATGGCTTCTGGCTTCTGATCTTGCATAATCAAGTTAGAATGATCACCACTTAAGAACCTCTCAGAACTTCACTTTGGCAAATTGTCTACTTCATAGCCTTATTAGGTGAACTGAATAACACAGAAAAAAAGTGTGATTTTTTTAGATTGAAAGGAGAAATATAGGCAAAAACTTATGGGCAAGAGTGTTTTTTAAAGAAAAGATTGTTAGTAACTTGGAGAAATGCTCATGGTGTAAAGGGAAATGTAATATATATTTGTAATTATTAGTAAGGTCTTAATTTTGTATGGTCTCAACAGAGGTGCTACAGGCATTTTGTACAAACCATGTCTTCATTGAGAGGGAGATGCCAGCATCTCTGGCCTTTGCCTCTCTCTCTCTCTCTCTCTCTCTCTCTCTCTCTCCCTCTCTTTCTCTCTCTCTCTCTCTCTCTCTCTCTCTCTCTCTCTCTCTCTCTCTCTTTCTCTCTCTCTCTCTCTCACACACACACACACACAAACACACACACTACACACACACACTACACACATGCATGTGCAATTCACACACACACAGTCTGGTTCTTTCTTGATAGAAAGAACCACATCTTACTTGTTGTGAGATCACAATCTGTGCCACAGGGCTTGGCACCTGGTAGCTACCTCACTGCTGCCACCCTGGTTCAGTAATATGTTATATGAATAAAGACTCCAGGCAAGATCTACTCTTGCCTGGACCTCCAGACTGGTCTTCCAGGTCTGACCCTGTGTTCTCTGCTTTAGTCTCTACACAGCTGACTACTTGCTTTAAAACATGAGCCGTGTCACTAACCCCCTCAGCACCCTAAGTGCTTTGTTATTTGTGCTTAGAAAACAATACAAACTCTATACCTTAGCTATCAGCCACTGCATGACGTTGGCTCCCATCACTCTCTGCCTCATATCCTACTGCATCCCTCACACACACCATCACAGCCACAAGGCCTCCTTCCTGCCTTGAACATGCCAAGGTCTTCCTCATCTCGGGGCCTTGACCTCGGCTATCTTCTCTGCTTCACTGGCTCTCCCTAATAATCTTTGCATGACTCATTTCTACTTTACATTTACAACTCAGTTCCTCCTCTGAGGAGTTGTACTTGATCATGTGAGCTAAAATAGATAATCCCTACTATCACATCTTCCTGTTTTATTTCCTTCACACTACTTATTAGATGTAAAATAATTAAATTTACATCACTAACCCTGTATCCCCCAACAAATATGTTTCCCTGTATCATTACTGTCTAAAAGATACCCAGCAGAAAGAGAGATGAATAGGTGAGTGACTGGATGAGACGATGGATAGGGTGTGTGTAGGTGGGATGATGCATAGGGAGAAGGGAAGATGGATGGGAGGGTGGATGGGTGGTGAATGGATGGAGTGAGCAGATAAATTGATAGATGGAGATAAGGATGGGTAGGAGAATGATAGAGGGATGGATGAAATGGTGAGTGATAAGCAAGTAGATTGACGGGTGAGTGGATGGATGCGGATATGAGGATAGATGGGTAGGTGAATGGAGGAATTCGTAGATGGAAGTAGGGGAAAGATTAATGATAGAAAAATGGAGAATGTATGAGATTGTCATGAAAGGGTAGGTGGGTTGGTGAATGGTTGCTACACCCCAGTGAATGGCATGTGTTGGTAGGATTTGCCTTTTATCTTTGTGGAATAGAAGAGGTATGACGTCTATTGTTATGAGAGAGGTGGAGGGAATAGGATGAGTTTAAAAATGTTTGAGAAACAGGACAGGAGTGATAGAGGATAGGTAGAAGACTGAAGCCATGTTGCATGCTCAGCTGTGCTGAGAAAACCTCGTGTGTAGGGGGCAGTGGTTAGCACTAAGACAGTGGGGGTTCAGTGTAGCCTGGTCTCTCCAGGTAGGCTACAGTGCACTTCACTGATCTCCTTCTTCTCACAGAGCAACTACTCCCGCCCTTCCATCTCCAGGAGGGCAAGGTGGGTCTCATTGAGAACAAGTTATGTAATATGTTATATGGACAAAGACTTGGCACAGGCAAGACCAACTCTGTGCACGAGGAGATGCTGTGTGCCGGGGACATCTTGACAGGAAAAGCCATCTGCCAAGTGAGTGAGGCCATTTCTGTTCTTCCTTTGCCTGAGCTCAGGCCCCAGTTTCCCCAGGGAAGCCTATATTGTCTCTATTCCCTTTGTGAGACCCCTGGTACTTCCCGTTTCCTCCCTCTGCATGTCTTTCCTGGGCTCCATCCCTCAGCAGTGTCCCCCAGGCTAGTCCCTTCTTATGCCCATCCCCCATGACAGTGTCTGCTGGAAGGCCTTCAAACAGCATCTATTTTAAAAAAAAAAATTTATTGATTTCAGAGAGGAAAGGAAAGGGAGAGAGAGATAAAAATATTAATAATGAGAGAGAATTATTGATTGGCTGCCTCCTGCACGCCCTTTACTGCAAACCGGGCATGTGCCCTTGACTGGAATCGAACCTGGGACCCTTCAGTCCGCAGGCCAACACTCTATCCACTGAGCCAAACCAGCTAGGGCAAATAGCATCTATTTTTAAGGCATATTTTAAAATTTTTATTGAAATATAATGTACATTCAAAAGAATATATAATTATTAAGTATATAGTTTAATGAATGTTCACATACTGACACATGTGACCTACTCCCCGGATGCCCCACTCATGCTCCCTTCCTTTCACCAGCATCCCAGGGAACCACCATCTTCACTTTTAATGCCTTAGATTAGATTCCAAATTTTACATAAGTGGAATTTACTCCCATTTGTTCATCATTTGTGTCTTAACATTATATTTGCTCTACTACATGTCTCTTTCCTGTAACCTCAGTGTCTTCCTTCATAGCGTGGATCTTGAGGCTTCCTTCACCGAATTGTTGAAAGGATGGTGTAGAGCAGGGGTCCTCAAACTACCGCCCGCGGGCCACATGCGGCCCACCAAAAACATTTATCTGGCCCGGCGGGTGTTTTTGCCGCCTCTGTTTGCATAGGAATTTGTTCATAGTTTTTTTTTTTAACTATAGTCCGGCCCTCCAACGGTCTGAGGGACAGTGAACTGGCCCTCTGTTTAAAAAGTTTGAGGACCCCTGGTGTAGAGGGTTGAATAGTGTTTCCCAAATTCATGTCATTTGGAACCTCAGGATGTGACCTCACTTGTAAATAAGGTCTCTGCCATTGTGATTAACGAAGAATCTTGAGATGAGACCATTGTGAATTTAGAGCAGGCCCTGAATCCAGTGACTGATGTTCATATAAGAAGAGGGAAAGACACAGAGACACTTGACTACAGACTTCTGGCCTCCAGAGCTGTAGGAAAATAATTTTCTGTTGTTCTTGTAAGCCGCCAGTTTGTGGTGAGGTATTATGACAGCCCCAGGAAAGGCAGACAGGAGGGATGAGATGCACCTGACCCATGGGGAGCCTTTGTGGACAGCTGTTTTCAGTCCTGCCCAGTGAGCTGCTGAGTCGGAGGGTGGAAGCTCGGCCACCTGCCCTCTGGAGAAGGTAGACCCAGGGGTTTTGGTTTCCAGTCCATAGCTAATGGTATGGACCTGCTGGCTCTCTGCCCTGGCCCATCCTCCTCACAATTAGCTGCACCCAGAGGCGGAGCAAAGGGCTCAGCCCCTGACTCCCCATATGGCAGGCCCCCTAAATCTCCCTTCCAGTCTTGTCCTATGCCTGCCTTCTCCTGCAAAGGCCATGCCCATGGAGCTCAGGGCCAGTGCACTTTGTCTGCCCCTTGACCCCGCTCTCCTCTAGTTTCTTCCCAGGCTGAGGACACAAATGTGCTGGACACCTGGGAGTCCATCCCTCCTCCCTCAGCCTTTAGGTCACCACAGCCTGTCCTTGACATTGCAACTGGATTCATCTTCTAGATTCATCTTCACCTGCTCTGGACCCTATCCTCCACTCTGGGCTTCCTTCTTTCCTCTGAAGTGCCCCTCCCCCTACATGGGGCACTCAGAAACAGCTCTAAGGAGAGTTGGGACCACAAGGTCATTTGGAGCTAGGACTGTGGGGCAGGACATACCTGGTTCCAGTCTTCAATCTGTTGCTTATTGGCACTGTGACTGTAGCTATGTCTCCTCACCCACGAAATGGGGTTGCTAAGAGCCTCCTCTTGTTAAGGTTTGGTACCTGGAATTTAGTAGATGGTTAACAATTGCTGGCTTTCATTTTCCTTCCTGGTCTGCCTCTCTATCTGAGTTATACTTGTTCTTCTGGGCCTGTCTTACACCTGTCCTCTCAACCAAGGTGGAATTCACTGCCTGGCCCTACTGGACACACACACACACACACACACACACACACACACACACACACACACAGTTTGCTCTGTCTCTAAGCTGGTGCATGGCATATGTGAGTGCTGATGTTTCCTCTGCCTTCTGAAGGCTCCCCTGGGGCCAGTAGGCTATTGGAGCCTTTGCAAACTCTCCTAGATTGACCCAGAATCCATTGCCATTTGGCAACCACATAGCCCATCCATGTGTGTCGCTGAGGCTTAGAGTGGACAGGGACCACTTCCCTAGACAGGGACCAGGTTCTCCCCTGTCCTCAGGCAGCTGTGGGTGGGGACACTGGAGGGAAGAGCTGAGGCAATGATGGTGCAGTCTCACTGTCCAAGAAGACCCCAAGTGTGAGTTTCCTGGAGCTGCTGTGACAAATCCCCTCAAACGGTGATTAAAACAGAAATTTATCATCTTACAGGTCTGCAGGTCCAAAGTCTAAAATCAAGGTGTGGGTGAATCTGGTTCCTTCTGGAGGCCCTAGGGGAGAATGTTTCCTTACTCTTCCTGGCTTCTAGAGGCAGCCCACATTCCTTGGCTCTTGGCTTCTTCCTCCTCCTCAAAAAGCATCACTCCAGCCTCTGCTCCTGTTGTCACATCACCTTCTCTGACTCTGATCTCCTGCCTCCCTCTTTCTTCATGGGGACCTAAGGTTTATATTGGTCCTGCCAAGATGGTCCAGGGTAACCTTCCTCTTTCAAAACCCCCAGTTCAACCACACGGGCAAAGTGTCTTTTGCTGCATAAGGTAACATAATCACAGGTTCCAGGGATGGGGTCATTCTTTGCAAACCACAGCAAGAACCCTTCTCTCTTCTTCTAGCCACCATCCCCCCCGCTATCTGCCAGCTGGGGAGCTTGCTTCTCATCTCACCAAGAGCATTGGAGCAGTCAGACTAGCACCTGCTCATCTTCCCAGTCCTGCATCCTGCACCCGTCATCCTTCATCTCTGCCGAGTCTCAGGTCCAGCTGACCCCTCCTGCTATGTCCCCTGTCTCTCCCTTTCATGACCATTGTGTGAATTCACAGCAGAAATCTCCTCCTGTTATTGCCCAATTTCTCTGCCTTTCCCCCCAAAAAAGACTCCTGGGACAGCAGTGAGCCTCTGATCCACTCTACCCAATTGTGTCCCCAGCATACCACCCAAGCCATGTGGCCAACGTCCCCACCAGCCTTGTTCCTGCCACAGCAAGTTTGTCCTGAGTCTTCTCACTCGGCACATCAAGAGGTCTCACTCACCTTACCTGGGCCCCAAACTCAATAGCTGTTCTGCTCTGCTCCTGGTCACCTCCCCCCACCACCATGAAATGCTGGCGATCCCAGGGCCCCATGCTCAGCCTGCTCCCTACTCTCTCTGCACCTTCTGACTGGTTGGTGAGAAAGGCTTAGATTCAACAGATCCTCTTGGCTCCTCCTTCAAAATATTATCCCAAATCTGACTGTTCCTCGGCACCCTGGCCACTCCCCATCAATTACCTCTCACCCCTGGGGTCACCTTCTGACTGGTCTTCCCTCTCTAACTCATGCTCAGCACTGTCCATTCTCCAGCACAGCAGAAGGATACACCTAGACAGGTTAGGTCACCCTCTCCCCCCGCCCCCCGAGTACAGCTCTCCCCTGGGGGAAAACCTAACCCCTTTGGTATCAGGCCCTGTGACCCACATCCTCTCTGCACACCCTGCTCCCCACACAGCCAGCCTCGCTGCTCCTTCTCCCATCCACCTGGCAAGTCCTCTTTCCTCATTTGCACTGACTGTTCCCTCTGCTCCAGAAATGAAGGTTGTTTCCTGTTTAGAGTATCAGCTCAGAAAAGCCTGACGTCATCACCAGATGAGATACCCTCCCGATCCCTGCCCCCATCCCTTCCATGGCTGGTTGTCACATCTGACCATAGTGGGCTAATTGGCTTGTTTACAAACCACAATGAGGGAGGGGCCTGACTTTATCACCCCTGTGCTCTCAAGTGCAGAGTCTGCCACGGATACTCCCCGTGCAGGTTGGATGGGCTGGTGGAAGAGTGGCCAAGCTCAGTTGTGGTCCCTGCTCCCTCACCTCCAGAGGATGAGCGTTTCCCTTTGGCCAATGAAGTGAGGGGACTTCCAACCAGGTGGTCCTTCCCTAATAGCCTTTCAGGACCCCAGTAAGCCCCATAAGCTTTCTGGAGACCCCTTCCTACTCCCCCATCAATGCAGGTTGCCTCCACCAGGCTTCAACATACACATTTTCTAAAGAAGCTGGTAGCAAACCAAATGCCAAAATGAATGAAAAAGGAAGATGGTGGCATAGTAGGTGGATCTTTCGCACACCTCCTCCCTGAACCAAACTGAAAATAAAATATAATTGAGAAAAATCCCCCTGAATTACCAACTGAAGATTATCTGAAGAGGAGACTTTTAATCACAGATGGGCAGAGGAGGCCATCTTGAGACTTGTAGGAAGGGGGAGACATGAGAAGTGCTGGCCCACTCCCCTGGGGGCAGACCAAGTTTAGGGAGGGATATCTCAGCAGTGGGAGGTTCCCCCTGAGAGGCGTGAAGCCTAGACCCCAGACGGGGCTCTGCAGCTCAGAGCGCCAGAGCCAGGAACAGGACCCCAGGTAGCACCCATCTCTGAAAGGCAGCAGGGTTTTTGCCGGCCAAGGAGAAAAAGCCACTTTTTAAAGAGCTAACATGCAAGATTTTATATTGCAGTCACTCACTCTGGGCTCTGGTGGAGGGAGAGCAGTGCGGACTTGAGTCACCTGAAGAGAGTCTGGAGTGGGTGGCTTTGAGAGACATGGAGGAGCAGCTGCCAGGATCCCTGTGCGGGGTCATCCTCTGATACTACAGCAGACGTTTTTCTTGAGAGGAGCAAGCCCCTCCCAGTGGCATCAGCCTGGAGCAAACCAACTACCACACCCTCTGGAATCCTGCTCACTCCACCTTGCATCTTAAGCCCTGCTGAGGAGACAGCAGCATAGGCCAGTCCATATAAGGCTGGGCAGACTTAGGGGAGGGTCAGTGACTGGCTTTTGAGGAGGGTCTTTTTCCCCCTTTCCCAGGAACCTGACTGGCACTTCCCCTTGTGGGAGAACCAATAGAAACACCCTCTTGGCTTCTGGCAGAACCAACCTCTGAACTTGGGAGGCCCCACCCTCCTGCTACTAGGGGTTCTGCCCTGCTGAGGTCAAGGAAAAGATCTGGGATAGACTCAGACTTGTGGCTCTGGGGCAGGGAAACACAGACACCATCTTCCCTAAGTATAAATGGCATCTCCTCCTCACAGGAGATCCAGGGATCTCATCCTCCTGATTCCAAGAAACTGAGCCTTTCCAGTGACTAAGAGTGGCAGCAGGCCAGGAGGCAGAGGCAGGCAGAGGCAGATCTCCATGCCTTGGGACATTAGCTAACCCACTCCTGTGCTCCATGCTGCTAAAGGCTAGCCTTAAATCATAGCTTGGTCCTTCCCGTGTGCAGCTAACACTAGCTAAGGCAGCCACACACTGGATCACTTGTAGATTTGCAAAGATATGCCAGATGTGGAAAGTGTCTGACATTGGCTTGCAGCAAAGAACGTCCAGGAAGGCCAGGCCCTGGTCGGGTGCATGCAGGGGGCAACCAATCGATGTGGTTCTCTCACATCGATGTTTCTCTCTGTCTTTCCCTCTCTCTTCTACTCTCTCTAAAAATCAATGAAAAAATATCCTCGGTGAGGATTAAAAACAAACAAACAAACAATATTGGTAGCCTTTAAGAGTGATGTCAACAGCAATGCAGTAATAGTTGGGGACTTCAACACCCCACTGACATCATTGGCTAGGTCTTCCAGACAAAAAATGAACAAGGAAATGGAGACCTTAAACAACACACTAGAACAGATAGGCTTAATTGATATTTATAGAACATTTCACCCCAAAGCAGCAGGACATACATTCTTCTGAAGGGCATGTGGAACATTCTCAAAGATAGACCACATGTTAGGGCATAAAATAAGTCTTAACAAATTCAAGAAGATTGAAATCATAGCAAGTATCTTCTCAGATCACAATGGCATGAAACTAGAAATCAACTCCAATAAAAATTCAAAAAAGTCAAACACCTGGAGGTTAAATAACATGTTATTAAACAATGAATGGGTTACCAATGAGATCAAGAAAGAAATAAAAAATTACCAGTGGACAAATAAAAATGAACACACAACAACCCCAAACCTATGGAACATAGTGAAAGCAGTCATAGAGGGAAGTTTATAGCATTACAGGCCTACTTCAAGAAGTAGAAAAGAACCAGAAAATGAACAAGATAATCCCAGAGTAAGCACAGGAAAGAGATAATAAAGATTGGAGCGGAAATAAGTGACATAGAAACTAAAAGAAACAATACAAATGATCAATGAAACCAACAATTGGTTCTTTGAAAAGATAAACAATATTGATAAACCTTTAGCCAGACTCATTAAGAAACAAAGAGAGAGGACTCAAATAAATAAATTCAGAAATAAAAGAGAAGAAGTTAACCACTGAAATCACAGAAATACAAAGAATGGTATGAAAACACTAAGAACAACTATATGCTAAAAACTTTGACAACCTAGGCGAAGTGGACAAATTCCTAGAAACATACAATCTTTCAAAACTCAATCAGGAAGAATCAGAAAACCTGAATAAACAGATAACAACTAATGAAATTGAAACAGTAATCAGACATCTCCCATCAAACAAAAGTCCTGGATCAGATGGCTTCAGAGGAGAGTTTTACCAAACATTTCAAGAAGAACTAACACCTATCCTTCTCAAACTATTCCAAAAAAATCCAAGAGGAAGGAGCACTTGCATGCTTTTTTTTTTTTGAGGCCAGTATTATCCTAATTCCAAAACCAGATAAAGACACCACAAAAAATAAAATTATAGCCAATATTTCTGATGAACATAGATGCTAAAATCCTTAACAAAATATTAACAAATCAAATCCAGGAATACATTAAGAAGATCATTCACCATGAGCAAGTGGGATTTGGCCAGGAATGCAAGGTTGTTGCCATATTTACAAATTAATAAATGTAATACATCACACAAACAAGATGAAAGATAAAAATCACATTATCATATCAATAGATGCAGAAAAAGCATTAGACAAAATCCAGCACCCATTTATGATAAAACTTTTAGCAAAGTGGGAATAGAAGGATCATGTCTTACCATAAGAAAGACCATAGATGAAAAACCTACAGCCAGCAACATATTCAATGTGCAAAAACTGAAAGCTTTTCTTTTAAGATCAGTTACAAGAGAGGGACGTCTGCTTTCTTACTCATATTCAACATAGTCCTGGAAGTCTCAGTCAGAGTGATCAGACAGGAAGAAGAAATAAAGGGCATCCAAACTGGAAAGGAGCAAGTAAAGCTCTCATTATTTGCAGATGGCATAATACTGTACATAGAAAACCCTAAAGACTCCACCAAAACTACTAAAATTAATAAATGAATTTGGCAAAGTAGCAGGATACAAAATCAACATCCAGAAATCGATGGCATTTTTGTACACCAATAATGAACTCTCACAAAGAGAAACTAAAAAACAATCCCAAAGTGCAAACAATCCCATTGCAACAAAAAAATAAGTTACCTTGGAATAGACTTAACCAAGGAGGTAAAAGACTGGTACTCAGAAAACTGCAGAACATCGCAAAAAGAAGTAGAGGAAAATGCAAACAAGTGGAAGAATATACCGTGCTCATGGATTGGTAGAATTAACATCATTAAAATGTCCATACTACCCAAAGCAACTTATAGATTGAGCACAATTCCTATTAAAATACCAACGGCATATTACACAGATCTCGGTCAAATATTCCAAAAATTTATATGGGACCAAAAAAGTCCCCAGGTAGCATCAGCAATCTTGAGAAAGAAGAATAAAGTTGGAGGGATCAGAATACAAAATATCAAACTATACTACAAAGCCACTGTAATCAAAACAACCCGATACTGGCATAAGAAGAGGCATATAGACCAATGGAATGGTACAGAGAATTCAGAAATCAACCGAAGCCATTTTGCTCAATTAATATTTGACAAAGGAGGCAAGAGCACACAATGGGGTGAAGACAGTCTCTTAATAAATGGTTTTGGAAACTTGAACAGGTACATGCAAAAAAAAAAAAATGAAACTAGACCATCAACTTACACCATTCAAGAGAATAAACTCAAAATGGATAAAAGACTTAAATGTAAGTCTAGATACCATAAAAATCCTAGAAAAAAAAACATAAAGGGTAAATCTTAGACATCTCTCCTGGGAATATTTTTGCTCATATATCTCCTGGGGGCAAGGGAAACAAAGGAAAAGATAAACAAATGGGAGTACACCAAACTAAAAAGCTTCTGCACAGCAAAAGAAACCATAAACAAAATGAAAAGGGAACTCACTGTACAGGAAAACATATTTACCAATAATACATTTGATAAAGGGTTAATTTCCAAAATATAAAAAGATCTTAACTCAACACAGGAAGACAAACAATCCAATGGAAAAAAATGAGCAAAGGACCTGAATAGTCACTTCTCCAAAGAGGACACACAGATGGCCAATAGACACGAGAAAATGCTCAAGATCACTAATCATCAGAGAGAAGTAAATTAAGATTACAATGAGGTATCACCTCACACCTGCCAGAATGGCTACTATCAATAAATCAACAAACAAGTGCTGGGGAGGAGGTGGTAAAAAGGGAACTCACTGTGGAAAACAGTATGATGTTTCCTCAAAAAGTTAAAAATGGAACTGCTTTTTGACCCAGCAATTCCACTTCTGGGAATATGTACTAAGACTCCAGAAACACCAATCAGAAAGAGTATACACACCCCTATGTTCATTGCAGCGTTATTTACAATAGCCAAGATCTAAAAGCAACCCAACTGCCCATCCCTAGATGAGAGGATAACAAAGCCTTGGTCCATTTACACCATGGAATACTACATGGCAGTAAAAAGAAGGAACTCTTACATTTGCACAGCCTGGATGGACCTGGAGAGTATTATGCTAAGTGAAATAAGCCAATCAGAGAAAGACAAATACCATATGATCTCACTAATCTGTGGAATCTAATGAACAAAATAAACTGATGAATTAAATTGAAACAGAGGCTTGGATACATGGAACAGACTGACAAATGTCAGAGGGAAGGGGCTGGGGCACTGGATAAAAGAAGCTGAAAAGATTAGCGAAAGAACATATATGGCTGGGGGAGCAGGGGCTTGGTGGAGGGGGTGACCATGGGTGACATCCATAATAGTATCAACAATTAAAAAAAAAAAGGGAAGAGGACCCAAGGGAAGGGGATATGCTACTGCAGCCCAGGGTGCAGCAGGAGCTAGGGTCTGTGGAGGCTTCAGCTTCCGGGCTCAGCTCACAGGCCAGCCTTCCTGGGCCCTGTGCATGCAGCTGTCTCCTATTGGCCTTGGGCGGTCCCTCTCCTGGGCCTCTAGGCCGTCCCTAGGTCCAGGGGCAGAGTGGTGTCCTTGTGTTGATAGATTTAGATCCAGGATCTTCTTGAGGGTCAATCAGAAGCTCATTGAGCTGATTCCAGTGCCCACCAGGGTGACTTTGGTGGGGTCTGCAGTGGGACACTGGTGTCTGGACTTTCACAGAGGTTGGTGTCTTAGTCTCTGTTGTCCCACTAACTCTCCTCTCTTTCTTAGGGCGATTCCGGGAGCCCCCTCGTCTGTGACCTCCTCGATGCCTGGGTTCTGGTAGGGCTGGCCAGCTGGGGTTTGGACTGCCGGCATCCCATCTACCCCAGTGTGTTCACCAATATCACCTACTTTGCTGACTGGATCCGGGAGATCCAGAGGCTCACACCTCCTCCTGATCCCACAGCTGCTCTTCCTCAGACCCAACTTCCATACAGGCCTCTGCAGGCTGCAGGCTCTCCGAGGCCTGGCACAGCCCTCTTGCCTCCCCAGACCTGGCTCCTATTGCTGTCTGTGCTCAGGGCCCGGTGGCAGGCCCTGCAGTGACCCGCCCAGCCCCTCTGCCCCTGCTGTCTGCCTCAGGCCCCAGGCTCCCTGTCTTCCCTCCCCCACACCCTCCAGTTCTCAGTGTGTGCTTCCTTCTCCTTGGCTTTCCTGTCCCTCAACTGCCACTCCCCAAACCAAGCCTGAAAAAATAAAAACAAATAAAAGAGTCATTTTCCTCCCATATCAAGACCCAGTTTTCTCTCCTGCATCTTAGTACTCACTCTTCCCTTGTGGTCAGTCATCTGACTTCATGGGCAAGGAGAGGACAGGGCAAGGATACTGTCCCAGGAGGAAGGCAGGGGTGCAATGCCGAGGGAGCCAGTCCTGAGCTGGGGAGAGAGCAGGGTGTCTGCTCTCAGATTCTGCTCCTGCTGGGGGAGCACTCAGGCCTTCAAAGGCAGCATATCAGTCAGTGTGGGCTACTGGTACAAATACCACAAATCCTATATAATAGAAGCCTAATATGCAAATTGTCCCCTTGGTCAGTCATTCCACCAGGAGACTGGGAGTACGACTGCTCGCTATGATGTGCGCTGATCACCAGGAGGCGGCTAGGAACATGGCGGGCATGGGCACCGCAGTGCTGGCAGCGGGCGGCAGTGGAGGTGCTATCAGCCCTAATGGGCCCTGACAAGAATGGGATTGCCGCGGGATGGCGGAGCAGGTGAGCAGGTGGCACCAGGCCAAAGCGGGTGCAAGTGGGGGTCTGCAGACAGTGACCAGTGGCAGTGGCAGGGCGGGGGGCTGCCGCCTGGCTTCCAGGTGCTGAGGGAGCCTGGTGGGGGGCCCTGGCTCTTATCAATCACCCCACAGGTGGGATAGTGGAGCAGGTGAGGTGGCAGCACCAGGCCAAGGAGGGGTGCCAGGTGGGGCTGCAGGGCTGCAAGGCTGGGGGTGCGAACTGGAGCCCTATCTCCGCAGGCTACCCCAGGGACCCCACCTGTGCATGAATTCATGCACTGAGCCTCTAGTAATAGATAAAGGGCATGTGGGCAGCTTAAACAACAGGAATTTATCATCTCTCAGTTCTGGAGGCTGGAAGTTCAAGGTCAAGGTGTGAGCAGAATTGGTTTCTCCTGAGGCTCTCTCCTTGACTTGTGGATGGCCATCTTCTCTCTGTGTCCTTATAGAATCCTTCCTCTTGTGTGTCTGTGTCCTAAAGTCCAGTCAGATTGGATTAGAGCCCACCCTAGTGACCTCATTTTAATGTAATCACCCCAGTGAAGACCTTACCTCCATTCTGAGGTTCTGGGGCCAGCACTCCAACAGATGGATTTTAGGGAACACAGTTCAGCCCATAATGGGAAGTAAGACATTTTGCCAGGTGTGTGCAGTGCAGGGGAGCAAGGGTCATGGATAGAAACACCAGTCCCGGGGTTTGGAGGAGGAGGACCGACTCCCAGTGGAGGTGGAGGGACGTTCCCAGGACAATTGAGCTAGACTAGGGTCCATGACCCCAACCAGGAGGAAGGGGGCTCCAGCCTGTGGTACCGTGGGCTCTGAGATGTGGGGAGGGGCCTGGGAGAGTAGGTCGGGAGCAGAGAGAGGAGGCCAAAAGCCAGACTGAGAGCTCAGGTTCAGGCAGGCAGTGCTCAGACTTCCTCACCTGCCCCCATGGCCCTACTCTCCCAATCTGAAGGGATTTACCCGACTTCCCCTCTCATGGCCCCCAACCTCATGTGAAACTGCTCCCTCTAGCCTGCCCAGAGGTGTCCACACCCTTCCCGCAGTTGGACCTTGGTGTCACCTTTTTTGCTTAGCTAACCCAGGACTTCGTGGCCGGCAATAAACCTTGAGGCAATGCCCTAGGTCCATGGTCGGCAAACTGCGGCTCGAGAGCCACACACTGCTCTTTTGACCCTTGAGTGTGGCTCTTCCACAAAATACCACGTGCGTGCGCACGTGTACAGTGCGATTGAAACTTCGTGGCCCATGCGCAGAAGTCAGTTTTTGGCCTGGGCGAGTCTATTTTGAAGAAGTACTGTTGATATTTGACTCTGTTGACTAATGAGTTTGCCGACCACTGCCCTAGGTCATCCTTTCCACCAATCAGCCTGACACTGGCTCTTGGTGCAGCCATCAGGACCCCAGCAGGCCTCACAGTGCACCCAGCCCAGCCTTCAGAATCCCTGAGAAAGTGGGAAAGCTCCCATCGAGTGCCACCAGTATGGACCAGGTGCCATTCAAATTGTTCAGTGCAAATTCTTTCCAATTCTGGCATTTCCCAAATATCCTGCACCCTCGGCGGCCACAAATAGAGTTACATGCCTGTCAACACCAAGATCTCAGTGGCTTGAGCCAGGACTTTGCACCGGGACTCCCTTCCCAAGGTGGTCTTGGGAGGCCTCAAGAAAGTGTCTTCCCAGTGTCCACCCCTGCGTGGGCATTTCGGGCAGCCCCTGGCCCTGGCCGGCCTCTGGCTGGAGCGCCACCAGGGTGATGCCACTATGTGTAGCTGTGCGCCTGGCACTAGAGTTCACCAATTTCTAACAGGAGGAAGATGGACCTTCTCTCCCTTGGCGGTAAACTCAGCTATGGGGTCTCGGGAAGGGTTGCTTAGGCCCCTGGATGTCAGTGAGTTACCGAGACAGCGTGTGGTTCACACACATTCTCCAATTCACATGAAGAAACATCCTGAGCAGCTGGATATGTTATATATTTTTATCTAATCTAGGTGGTGGTCGCACAGGAATATATTCACGTAAAAAGTCACTGAGCTGTACACTGAAGGTCTGTGAATTTTACTTTGTATAAATCGTACTTCAAATCAGCTGTAAACATTTAAAATAATTTGCATTTACCTGTAAACCACGATGGTTGCAAAGCATGTCAGCAAATCCTTTGATACTCCTCCCTTCAACATGTGGAGCTTAATCCCCTCCCCTTGAATGAGTGGAAGTGATGCGATGTGACTTCTGAGGCAGGGTCCTAGCAAGCATGTAGCGTCCACCTGGCTCCTGACTCTCAAAACGTTTGTTCTTTGGGAAGCCAGCGCCATATCAGGGAGACTTTCAGGCAACCTGTGGAGAGGTACTCATGGAGAGGAACTGAGGCCGCACACCAGCAACCTGCAGGAACTTGCAGTCATGCGAGTCGGCCAATGGACACATAGGTCCTCTGTCCGTGACGCACACCGTCAGATCCCTGCAGCCGTCACCAACACTTTGACTACAACTCATAAGAGACCTGGAGCTGGGCCTACACGGTCAAGCTGCTCCCAAGTCCTAGTCCCACAAACACTGCCAGAGATACTAAAGCAGTGGTTCTCAACCTGTGGGTCGAGATCCCTTTGGGGGTCGAACGACACTTTCACAGGCGTCGCCTAAATACATCCTGCATATCAGATATTTACATTATGATTCATAACAGTAGCAAAATTACAGTTATGAAGTATCAACAAAAATAATTTTATGGTTGGGGGTCACCACAACATAAGGAACTGTATTAAAGGGTCGAGGCATTAGGAAGGTTGAGAACCACTGTAAATGTTTCTTGTTTTTTTTTTTTAAGCCAGTAAGTTTGGGGGTAATTATTGCACAGCAATAGATAAGATCTGTCTGCAGGGTTAGGATTCTCTTTGAGTAGGATTCTTTATAACTATAAATTGCTGAAACGTTTGAGGTTCCTTATATTTTAGATTCTAATTTGGAAACCCAGCTTTGAGTGCTGTGTAGAAGGCATTATTTATTTATTTTATTTTAAAAATATATTTTATTTGTTTTTTACAGAGAGGAAGGGAGAGGGATAGAGAGTTAGAAACATCCATGAGAGAGAAACATCGATCAGCTGCCTCTGCACACCTCCTACTGGGGATGTGCCTGCAACCAAGGTACATGCCCTTGACCAGAATCGAACCTGGGACCTTTTGGTCAGCAGGCCGACGCTCTATCCACTGAGCCAAACCGGTTAGGGCTAGAAGGCATTATTTAAATTAAAACATATCTAGGTTTGAAAATAAAACATGCAAGTAATAATACGTTATTAATTTTCTAGTTGTTTCTTTCTATTTTGGACCCCACGTGAATATAGTCTGTACATATTCTATAGCCATGGTGGGTGAGGTTGGAACAAACTACTGAGAAGGAATGACGGAATCACAGTAAAGCCACTCCCTGAGGAATTTTTCCATAGTAACAAACCAAGGCACCAAGACTGAGAGTCCCCCCTTGTCAAAGTGACGGTGTGAGAAAGAACAAGAAGGAAAAGGCCCCTTCTCCAGGGGCAGTTCTTAGGCTCTAACCATTTGTGTGTTGGCCTCGCTATGCTAATTCTGTTCTTCTAAATAGAGTTCAAGTTTCTGTAAATCGTCTTCTTGTTCATGCTTTTGAAGCATCCGGAGGTCAGGCTGCTACGCCCTCAGTGATGTGTCTGGTTAGGACGGTGTCCCGGCATCGAGACTGCGGTCCCTGCCGTCCCTGTGCTCAGGGGCCACGGCACCTTCAGCTTTTGGAAAGGGCACAGCTTGTTGTTACAAGACTCAAATCCTCCTACACACACTGAATGATCATACGTAGAAAGGCACCGCCGTCTTCCCTGAGGCTTAGAGATCAGTGCTCTAGGAGAGATTTCATTCCCAACAAAATGCCACCCTCTCCAGCATCAGGGAGAGAAGCCCTTTCAGGTGAACTGCTTCCACCGCTGCTCTCCACTGGGGGCTGTTCTTCCTCATGCCTCGTTCAGGCCTCTCATTAGGTCCATGACCTCAACAGCAGTTAGTTAAATGCGCCCTTTAAAATATAGGCTCATGAATAATTTTAAGAGGAAAGTGATTTAAACCGTAAGTGCTGGAAATAAGTAAGTGCCTGATATGTAAGAATTTCCCGCTGTGACCACGGGAAGACATGGTGAGGATCACATCACGCCTACCATGTGCCGCTGAGGGGAGCCCATGGGAGGTGTGATGAGAGGCAGATTTGTAGATACACAACAAGGAAACACTAGTGGAGAGATGGGAAATGCATGCCTGAAGGACATATTTGGTCCCTGGATCCTTTGGCTCA